TTCGCGTCCATTATATGCGATAAACGCGATGATATTAAGACAGATGCGTTAACACCAGGACATTTCTTGATAGGAAAACCAATAATATCTACCCGTCTTCAGGAACACATGTCAACGTTTCCACATATAAATTAATGGAAGTGCTAAAGAATTAGCGTGATTTTGGAATCGGTGGAAAATAGTATTTGCACACCTCCAACAAAATAAATGGAAAATTCAACGAATAATATAAAGAAGGAGATGTTGTAATTATAAAGATGAAAATGATACACAGCCTACCAGGTGGCCTCTTGGAAAAGTCATAAAAACACATCCAGGAAGTGGTCGTGTTCGAGTGGTAACGTTAAAGCTTTCCAATAACACATTGAAAAGACCAATTCACAAATTATGTCCTCTTATCAAACAGACAGACAATAACGAAGAGAGTAAGGATGTAAAAACTTTAACAACCACAATCAAGCCTAAAAAGAAGCAACATATAAATAGATTTGGATTTTTAATCTTCGCGATCCTTTGCATGACAACAAATACTCTCGGTATGAACATAAATTATTCCCAAGAAAGAAGTGCAACAGTCAGTAAACTTCCTGAAAATACTACAATTTACCTGGACTCACTAGGAAAAATGGATGTAATTACATCTACCTGGGATTTGCTCATATATTATGATCTCAATGCATATTTCGAACAATATAATATGTTGCCAAATTGCATTGCTAGAATAAAAGATCATTACCAGCTTTTATCTCAGTTTGAAGAGGCATGCAAAGTCATATCCTTATCTCTAGGAAAGCGCTATGAAGACTTAGGTCACAATCATAATTTGATTGTAGACAATAAAAGGCATAAAAGAGCCCCATTAGAATGGGTTGGATCTATTTATAATATGCTATTTGGATTAATGGATAACGACGACCAAGAAGTAATAGAAAGTAATTTCAAATCGTTACTTTCTAATCAACATTAGATCAACAATAGGTTAAAATCACAAATTTCTTTAATCAATTCTACAGTCCACTAAATTTAAATAATTAATTTATTTTCCTCGGCAATATGTTCAAATATCTTTGAACATGCTTATTTTTAGCATCGATAATGCCAAGGCAGTGAAAGACACTTATACATAAAAACACATAAAATGCATTAACATGCTATACACATGAAATACGCATGCAATATGTATGTTTAAGATAAGATCATGCACATGTTTATATGTACACATTGTACCCAATTGGTTCTAAAAATACATTTAGGCAATGGCTTCTGTGCATCGAAAACGACCCTTATCACGTAACATATACAATGAGTAATATACATATTCACATACACATATACACATATATTTAGTTAGTTAAGATAGTTTTCAAAATTGTATATAAAGCCCTCAAAAATTAAATAAAAATCAGAATGCATTTATTCTCCCTGAATGTAAGACTATAAATGCCCCCCACCAGTGGTAAGGAATTTTAGCATTTACATACAGTTTAACATACTTAATAAATTTATGTACAATAGTAATAAACACTAACATTTTTATATGAAAACAAATAATATTATAATTTGAATTGTTATTTACAAAAAAAAATTAATTAACATTTATAATATTTATATTTATTGTATAAAAAGCCATTAAGCTTAAAATAATTAATCGAGCACGAGTATTGAATAATAAATTCGCTTACTTCGTTCAGTTTTGCTTATAACTTCTAATATGATGAAACTATATTGAAACATTATTAACGAAGTATATATTTCTTATAGAAAGAGATGTATGTATTTATACTAATTCATGTTTCTAACGGGTGTTTGCAAGATTGACTTTAAGTTGGCATTCCTGTTCAAGATGGCTGCAATTTTGACAATGTCCTGATTTGATTCTCAGTTGGTTGCCAATTCTCTCGCGACCGAGCTGCACCCTGAACAGCGTTTACCGTCATGGTTTGTGCGGAATACGTATCATGCACTCAGTTCATTTGTCGTATAGTAAACCGGTGCCTTTTGGTTGAAATAGCTATGTTAACAAACAAAACTGCCGCATTTGAGTAACCTAATCCTCAAGTGATGTCGAAAAACCTACTCCAGAAAAACTGACTGTTGTTTGGTGCTGTGGAATCATTGTCTAGTACTTGTATCATGTTGAAACAAGATGACTAGACCATCAGTCAAAGTGATCGGTATAGAGCCATAGATATATCTTTTCTGTCTGTGAATTGGCCTCCAAGATAA